TGCTGGATCCGGTGCTTTATTACCCTGAATCATCTCCTCAAATCCCTTCTGGATCGTTTGAGGATCAGGAAGGGGTGGGCCAGGGGGAGAGGCACTTTTTGCGGCGCTTTTTTGTTTGGGTTTTTCCTGGGCCTGGGCATCCTCCAAAGGGGTGCGACCTCAGTATTTTCAGGTTCTTCAGGTCCCTGGGTGGTTTTGGGGGCACGATAGGGCGTGGCAGAGATTATTTGTACCGCTGCTTAGAGCAGTGCGAAAGCGATTGGCTTTGTCCTGCAGCGATATCGGAAGTGAACGGGATGTTGGGGAAGAACATGGCAAAGTTCTGCTCCGGCGATTATAACCCCGACGTGGTTCCTGCGGAGACCAGGCACCTCGATCCTCTTCTGAGCGCGGCATCGAAATCACCCCCGGCTCAGGTTCCAGTCAAAGGCTTGGACGGTAATTTTGCCACCAATTTTTATTCCTCAGTGCGATGTGCGCAAGAGCTGGGCTCAGTGACGGCAAAACGGGAGAGCTGGGCGAGGTGGAGGGATTAAATCACCCCGCATTGGGCTCGCAAATAGGAGAACGAGGGTAAAAATAAAACCAGATCCCGGATCCAGGGTATTCTGGGTTAAGTTTCTCGTTGCCTGAGGCTCCTGAGCTTTACGTACGTCGTGTATCCAGTACCTGAAGGAGGGCAGCGGGCGCCTTCCCAACGACAGCTCTTCCTTTGGAGGAGAGCAGCCGCCAGAATGCGTGGGTGGGGGCAAAGCAGCCGCCTGCCCCCTCCTCCGGTCGCTCCCTCTGATCCGCCTGTAGCATTTCACAGCCCCCACGGTCTGGAATTCCAATCTTTCCTTGGAATACGCCTGTGGGGAGGACGAGTAGTGGTGGGGTTGGGATTCCGGAGAGGAAGAGGAAGGTGCTAACTGGCCTTCACTCTGCATTTTGTGCTTTAAAACAAGTTTAGACGGAACTGCTGAGGTGTGCGAGGCTCCGTTTCGGTCCTGTGGTTCCCGTACGGGAGCGATGCTGCTAAGAGGCTTTCCCTTCAGAGTTGGGTTTTTATGATCGCAGTTCAGTTCCTGCCCCGTGTCAGACGCAGGTTGAGATCTGGCTGACCATGAGCCAGCAGGGTGCCCTGGTGGCCAAGGCGGCCAAGGGCGTCCTGGGGCGCATCAAGAGGAGTGTGGCCAGCAGGGCGAGGGAGGTTCTCCTCCCCCTCTGCTCTGCCCCAATGAGACCCCACCTGGAGCTCTGCGCCCAGTGCTGGGCTCCCCAGGTCAAGGAGGAGGAGGAGCTACTGGGGAGAGCCCAGAGGAGGGCAACCAAGCTGATGGGGGGCCTGGGGCATCTCCCCTAGGAGGAAAGGCTGAGGGAGCTGGGCTTGTTCAGCCTGGAGAAGAGCAGGCTGAGAGGGGATCTCATCACCACCTACAACTCTCTCAAGGGTGGGGGGCACGGGGACGCAGCCAGACTCTTCCCAGTGGTGCCCAGCGCCAGGCCAAGGGGCCATGGGCACAGCCTGAAGCAGAAGAGGTTCCAGGTGAACGGGAGGAAGAACTTCTTGCCTGGGAGGGTGCCCGAGCCCTGGCCCAGGCTGCCCAGGGGGGCTGTGGAGTCTCCTTCTCTGGAGATCTTCACCCCCCGCCTGGACGCTGTCCTGTGCCCCCTGCTCTGGGTGACCCTGCTTGGGTGGGGGGGTGGCACTGGGTGAGCTCTGAGGGCCCTTCCAACCCCTGCGATTCTGGGATTCTTTCCTCTCGATTAATTCAGAGTTAATGTCTGCCCTGGAGTGCTGATCCAGCCCCAGGACAATTTACGTAAAGGCCTAGGGGTCGTGTCCTCCGCGCCCCGCAAACCCTTGGGTACGCGGTTCCCTCTTTACCGTTATGGACGAGGTGCGGGTTCCCCGTCAGGCTGCGACTCCACCTTTGTGCCTTCGCAGCTCGCTGTCCCTGGGCCATCCCCATTTCCCTCAGCCGCCAGGAACGAAGCCTCAAATGCAAACCAAACCCCGTGGGGGTTTTCCCCGGGCGGTTGAGGATGATCTGACCGACGCCTGTTTCCCTTCTTCTAGACCGCCTCTTCTATATCTACACTTCAGGGACGACGGGAATGCCCAAAGCTGCCATTGTGGTGCACAGCAGGTGAGGACCTGAGGCGGGGAGGGGGGTTCCTCCCTCCTGAGGCACGTTCAGCATCACGAAACCCCGAGCTTTTACCCGTCTCGCTGGGCTTAGCGCACGCGCTGCCTTCCCGCAGGTATTACCGCATCGCCGCCTTCGGTTACTACGCCTACAGAATGCGCCCGGAGGACGTCCTCTACAACTGCCTCCCGCTCTATCATTCTGCAGGTAAGCATCTTCCTCCTCCTCCTCCTCCTTGGCGGCGGCGGTGAGGCCTTGGCCTCCCCCCTGCCCGCTTCTTCGCGCATCCTTGTGAGCGAACAGACCCCGGGCGGTCGGAGCTCACCCCCGTGATCCTCGTTTTCCAGGTAACATCATGGGAGTTGGCCAGTGTCTGATCCACGGCCTCACCGTGGTGATCAGGAAGAAGTTCTCGGCCAGTCGCTTCTGGGACGACTGCACGAAATACAGATGCACGGTGAGGGCTCTGCGGTCGCTGTCCTCGGCCCTCAGCTGGAGAGCGCCAGGTTCCCTGCTTAATTAACGATCTCCAGATAATTCCCTGCCCCTTATCGGATAGCGAGGTGCCTGCGCTGTGGCATCTTTAAATGGCCAGTGCCACTTTGGGCGTGTGGGACCTCAGGAAAGGTCCTTCATCCTCCTCCTCCCGCTTCCGCTTTGTAAAATCATGGAATCAGGGAATGGTTTGGGTTGGCAAAGCCCTTTCAGCTCCCCCAGCCCAAC